CAACCCTCATCAACTTTCCTTGCTATGCGCATAATGATTTTTTCATGGGAACAGGCAAACGCCTCTCGACGACAGCATACAAGCGCCCCACACTGGTAAGCAGAGCCTAGTGTGAGGCGGCGGCAGAGCCACTGCCACCATAGTGACTTTGTGGTTCTGGATACCCCGGACATATTTCAATGTCAATCACCGTTCAAATCAAGATGAAATCTACGTGCAGAGGCACTGATTGAATTTGGAGTGAGAACATTCAATTTGCTGAAATCAGCTGTGATATCCTAAATTTTTTTGGAAAAAAATTTGTTGTGAAAATTATTGCTGACTGTAATAACGGAGTGTTTATTTTTTAATTGCTTAGGATTTTTATTTCAATAAGTTTGGACGTGCCGTCACACTTCGACAAGATTTTCAAAGGAAAGACAGCAATAAAATTGCAATTTTAAAAATGATGAAATAAAATATCACAATGCTGGATAATGGGTAAATGAATTTTGGCTAAAACATTTGTGAACACTGCACACGGGTAAATAATTTTAACTTTAGACAAACAATTTTTTCCAATTAATGGAAGAATCGATTGAATTGTCGTATTGAATTAAATTATCGATATAAATGAACCTTGGCTCAGAAGTCATATGGGTTTTTATTAATACACAACTTTAGAATCTTTTGGTTTATCGTAAATATTCTCTGTTAAAGTTTTGTTTATCGTATTTGTTAAGGTCATTTTTTTGAAATCAGCTGTTCGCAGCGGGTTTCGTAGCAATCAACTATCCTTCCTCTTTCGTGTCAGTGGTGTCCATGAATAAATCATTTGAATCGGAATATAAAATATGCAACGGAAGTCGCGATGACATTGAAATTTTTCACATTAAGCTTACTGATTCTGCCCTGAGAACACTTCAGTCCGTTTCCCATAAGCAGGTTTGCCAATTATTCGTTCTGATTCAAATTCTTTTCAGTCAAAACCTATCAAGTTAACAATAGATGGAAACCAAGGGGTAATTCGGCGTGCAATTGTTGATAATGGTTTCTAAAGACCTTAGCTATTGCGGGGAATCATTCCACTGAATCTTTTGATCTTAGTATATCACCTCTTCACCAGAGCTCTGGTGGAATACTCGACTTTATCAACTTTCAAAGGTATGCTTCTGTATTTATCTTATATGCCTACTTGAAATCAGATCTCGTGTTGTAAACCTAGGAAAAGCGGTTTCGAGACTAACGGTGCACGCGAATGATGATAGTTTTTCGGCTGCGAAGTTGAGATTGAGTGAAGCTGAAAAGGACCAACGAAAACTACAATCAAAACGTCCACTGGTCTCAAATACGAAAGGTTCATGCTTTCGCAGTAGTTTGAACTCAAGATCTTTTCCTACACCTCCTAATTCACGCGCCCTTGATTCAAGAACCCCACCTTCCGTATCTCTTATCCGTACTTGCAGCCCCCTGTCTGTAACTGCTAACAAAAGTCCCGCCATAGCAAACGCTGAAGTTGGTTCGCGTCAGTTAAGGTAAAAATTGCTATCAATTTCTTGTCTCTCGCCCATGTTCGTGTTGTCAACTCGTAGTGCCTTTATAGGGATCGTATTATCCATCTACTTGCCATCCAGTCGTATCAGCGGCCCGAACTGATTTTGCGTCTTAGACGAGACGGTTTAACGGATGAACAAAAAGACCAAGTGGATGCCATTTTGAGCAAAGTCGGGCGGCTTGGGAGACAGGGTGAATATCACTTGGCTCAAGTGTTCTTCAATGTGATTGAGCCGAATTGGCCTGGTTATTCGCCTTCAGAACGTTCCACCGTTGCGTCTCTCAAGGCAAGTAGTTTTATTATGCAAATCTGCAATCAAGCCATCATGTCGAAACAATTTATAAGCTTGATAGGAAATAGCAGTTTACATGTATAAAAGTACAGAGGGCCTTTTTTCATTATGGGAACTCTTTGTTAATACTGTTTAGACATCTTAGTGTGCAATAGTAAACCTAAAATCAAAATCTATTCTGTTTGAGGCTCATTATTTAGGTCCATCATTTGAGGAAGCTGTAGTTTCGAATACCGTGGCAGACACGTCCCCATTGACAGGCTATCTTGTTATTTTATCATTATCTATCGTCTGCTAGACCTGCACGTATACATGATTAATTTGTTCAACTAGAGCACCCGCCTTTGCTTACTTTTTGTCGGTGGAACAAGCGTTATTTGTTCCTTTAACTTGCCTCCCGTCTCCTTAATTTGTACCCCCAAATAGCTTGTTGGGGCACAATAGGTATCATCTCTCTTTGTTGAATTTCAAGAGGTTTTTTAACTGTTCATGTGGTCACTAATGGGGAAATTTACTGCCACTAGGATCTGGGAATTCCTGTATTTAACCATTCAATGCTCCAAAGTAAACGCCTAAGTCTTCGAATTTGACGAACACGATTTTAACACGCGTTACAATGCTTACCCTCATTCTTAACCATCGGTTTTTGTCGCCTATTGTATCCTTCTGCTTACAGATAAAGCATAGGTTGGTCCCAGGCCCTCTGTTCACCTGACTAAAAAGTACAGGGATTGAAGCATGTATTCAGTCCCATAGTTTCAGAAAAATTCTTTATGTTTTGAATAACTTTTGAATCCGGTATATTTAGCCATTTGAGTGTTTATAATATAACCATGCAACTTCACATTTGTACATTAGCTTTGTTTTGAAGTTACCTATGTTAGTGTGCATAAGCGAACTTGCTAGATGTCTACGCAATTGATTGCAATTGCGCTATTGCGTGGGAGAATCAAGCTCCACTCGATGTTTTATTGTAATAGTTAACCCCTCTCCTAGTGGTTCCTGCTAACGTTTTTTTCTCTCAATTGACGTGGGTCAACCATTACTAATTATAGTATTTTCTGCGACAACACAGACAATTCTTGCCATTTAACCCACAAACCACGCCTACACTTCCATCAGATTTGTATTTGCACTCCTTAGTTGTCGATGAAATCCACTCAGGCAAAATAACTTCAACTAACTTCAATTCCGGGAATTATCGACTACCTTATTGAACCCTTGAATTTCTACGTAAAAATTAGTTAGTTAAGGCAAATTTAAGCAGATTAAAATCTTGGACGAGTGTTTTCATTAGTGCTGCATTTTGTTCCATTAGGTTACGATCCGACACTGCTCGTTGTTACAGTCCCGTCCAACTCACAACGTGGTCGTGTTTTATTTTAATTAGTTGATGACAGATAATTATTAAAAATTTTCGCCCTTGTATAATCGTGGAGCATGCTTGATTTATGTGGGAGACACCTAGTTTACAAGACCTGGGACGAGATAAGCGAATAAAGTTAAACATCGCAAGCGCATTCCTTGCTCGCTAAGTATTATTTGTATTTTGCGGCGACTTAAGTTGTGGCGAATCAACAGGAATACGTAGTTATTTAATTAATTTTAACACAATTCTTAATTGGCATTGTTTCACGTTTTATAACTATCACATTCACTTTGTAGGCAAAAATACAATCTTCTTCTCCCAGCACCATTAGCAACCGCCCTGTTCCTGCTGAAGGTGTTTCGGTATCAAGTATGACACCCGGAAGCCGGCAAAACTCACCTCTCTCGGGGATAGAAGACTTTGGGCGGAAACCCACGCGTGCAACCGCCCCCTCGGCGCCCCACGCTTTGGGGAAAAAAATTGCTGCTCTGGATCTTCTTTCATCTGGCATTCCAGAAGCGACAGTCGCCGCTCAGTATGGTATTACCCCGGCTTTGTTGGAAAACTGGAAACTCAATGAAGCAAGACTGCGCCATGTGAGTAGCATATGTCTTACTTTTCCACATTTTTACCAACCCGAGTTGTTTGTCGTATAACTGACTCATATTCTATGAAAATTTTAATGAAACACCTGATTTTAAACAGTTTTCGATGGTAATGTTTTGGGTTCTTGTCACCTCATTTTGCCTGCGATACAGTCATCCTACATTGCTTCCGTCATCGGCTCTTGTTGCCTAATGTTACCATCTTAGCTTGCAATCAACGTGGAATCATCCGCAAACTTCGAACATCAAAATGCAGATGTCTTGATCCTTGGAGGGAGCTGGTTCTTGTAACTACAATTTTAAGTGTCTCTTTGGCTGTGAAGCCTACTTTAATGGTAAACCTCAGGGACTGAGTACATATCTCATTGTCAGCGCGGTGCGTTGGAATTTTATTAGCTCGTAATAAATCGGCTTAGATTTCAGTCACAGATCACCTGAGTGATTCCATTGCGCATGAGTGTCCTTAAATCAGCGCCATTTTTTGTAATTCGTAGATTCGCTTGTGGCTCAGGGTGTGTTTCTGTGCAAATGTTTACGGGTTAAGCCAGTGCAATTTAAGATGGGGGACGAGGTCTCCAACTTTTAGCCTTCTAGTGTCTGTCGCACGATACAATCATCAGACTATTAAATTACTGCCGTGTAACTTTCGTTGCTATGTGTTCTATAAATCACCTTATATTGTGGTGTTATTGGAATCGTTCAAAACTAGTTTTCGAAGTTGCGCAACCTAGTATTGTCATGATAGTATGAAAAGCTTTTAAATTACTGGTTTCTTCTAATGGTAAGGAGAATTTCAAGTTTTCTAATTAAAATCACTTTAAATACATCATAGCAAACAATAAGGAATGACTGTACACCCGTTAGAGACTTCGTTCGGCCAAATTAAATTTATTCGTTATGAGCCTATCAAACATGCAACCGTATATGCATATAGACAATAAGTATTTTCTATTTAAATTTAACAACTGTATTAATTTATAAAAGGCTTAGAATATGTGCATTCCTAATCGTATCATCAGCATGACTGCTGGTGTGATGTCAAATCTAAACCAAACTTCACATAGTGAGGGTCATTCATTGTCGGTATTTCGCCACCTCAATCTGTGAATTTTCGTGCTACCTTTGCAGCGCGACAACACTCCCTGGACAGCTAGATAAGACAAAAGGGGCCAGTACTATCTAGAAATCCGTGTATTGCTGTTTTCAGACGTATGCTCAGCGCCAGGGCTCCAAAATGCCCCAGTCAGCTATTCCACCTCACTCATCAACCCAGGAATTGCAGAAAAGCATTAGAAGCGTCACTAATGCCGCGCCCCCTACCTCTAACACCGCCGTGAAGCCTAGCGCCCCGAAGCGCTCAAGACTTTCTTCTGACGAAAGTGGGGTCCTCTCTGGCAGCTCTTCATCATCTACCTCAGGAAATGGTCTCTCTTTTGCGCCCACCTCATCCCTCAATCACCGTTGTACCACAGTTGCTCCTCCCTCCAAAAAACCATCCCCACCCCTAATTGAACAAAATCGTTCCTCTTCGGAGAAAACACAGCATTCCGTAACGTGCTTTGATGGCGAGCAAACGAAAAACAGCCTTTCACGGGTCGGATCACTTTCTAATCGCGGCAGTATTCGTCGTCGCCATCACGGTTGTGGTAGCGAGACGAGTAGCTGCGGCGACAGCAGCGCGCCTTCCGTCGAGACGTCACCGCCACCACAGTTTGGCCGAAAAGGGGTGGACGCAAATGGGTCTGAAAAAAGTGAGTTGGTTGGCTTCTAATGCTTACCACACTTATTTGATACATCTCATATACCCATTTGGCTATTAGCCGAATTGGGAACCTTCATTAAACGGTTAGCCATCTTCCAAATTGATTTCAAATGATGTACCAAGAATCTTGTGGTGTCCTATTTCGCATCCAACAACGATCACTCGGCTTAGACAAAGCAAATTTCGCCTTTGTTGGTGACCCTGTGATTTGGTTTTCGGATCCGTTTATTGCAAATCGATTTCGGTCACAGAGCAATACTTGTGTTCCATTTGCACTGCCGTTCAATGCCACTGGTCTAATTAATCTGAAGTGCATTGTGAACATTCACGAGGATATCTAAATTATTATTTATGCGAACCACAAGTAGGTTGTTAACGTCGTGCAATGTTTAGCTAACTCTTTCATGCAGTCATGTTCAAATGTTGCTTTTTAGGTGGTTATTTAAGATATTTACGAAGCAAATGCAAACCTCAATTTAAGACGACTGTTGTTTGTGTGGTATCATAACTTTTTGCCCACTGTAATCTTAAATTTGCGACTTAATTCGCTATGGTCGTGTTCATGACTACATAGGCAAATTAACAGCTTTTCGCACTCTCTTGCTTCCTTCATGAAATAAAGGCTCGTGACTCGCCAGTCGCAACATTGAAGGTGTTTGTATGAAAGTTGATGTGTTTATAGGCTTTGTTTATTTTTGTCCTGGCTTTTGGTAGTGTAGTGTTTTATCCTGGCGGTCAGTATTCAACATCACCTCATTCCCTTTGTTTGGTTGTTTATTCATCGTAAGCCTATCAATCACAAGGCTGTCGAGGCCATTGTGTACTTTCGGAGAGGCTTGGAGTATGCTTGCATCAAGTCAGATTCTGTTAGTTTGAGAGTGGCTTCAAGAAGTGCATGTAAGCACCCACCTGTCTGCCTTTAAACTAGTGGTTCTTCTTTGTTTACCGAACTCATGTGCCCTGAAAACCAATCGCCTTGTCAGCCAAAGTTCAAGCCTCTGCCTAATCTACGTCGGGGCTAATGGGCATAAGATCTCCTCTTTTCTGGGACAATTGCGAACTCAGTCATTTTCTTACGTTTGACTCCTATGTTCTAATGAAGCCAGAGATTACTTTGCAAAAGTTCTCGCCTAGGCAGAAGTACCGGTGATCATTCCTGTTCTCTAGCCTAAACTAAATTCCGAGTTAATGAATCACTCTACGACAACCAACTATTTGTGCTTTTAGTTTGCCTTTTCCAAACACGCCGCCCCAGCCAATTTCGTAGGGGAGCGGTCTTGATCTATTAGCCTGGTCGTGCCTTTTAAACCCTGGATTCAGAAGCGGGAGACTGTGTTTTCACTGCTTTTTGGCAATATAAGATAGTTGTATGTGTATTTATTGTCGGTGCCTATGTTCGTTTTGTTAATTAGACAACAGTTATTTGCGCAGGTTCATTTGCCGTAGAAGGACTAATCGGCCCGTCACCCAGGTATCAACCATCAACACATGCTCGTGTGTGCCTTATTTATTTCATTCGCTGGCACCCTGTTCTGTGTGTATTCGTTCGATTGACAGTTGTGTCGCTACCGTTTCCTCCGTTGCCGCTACTTGTTCTTCAGGTTGTTCTAACTCCATAATGATTTAAAATTTCCCGGCAGTTTTTTTGGTCCATGCCAGTCTTAAACGTTTTCCCCCTTGCCTGTCGTATCCCCACTGTTTGTCCTCTACAGGCAAACACCAGCGACTCGATTCCTTCGCCGAAGAGAAGTCATCCTATCTCTCCGACGAGGACTATCTCTTAGACACTATTTCATCCAAAAACGCCGAGTTGGATAGGTGGGATTCAATGCCTAATATTCTTTTACCATTCGGCCTTATTTTTATCATTAACTTATTTACTCTTTTTACAGGTTGTACCCGGCAATTTCAAGTGCAAGCCAGGCAGCTGCATACCGTGAAGAGTTCGAGATGTTGTATCCCAACTACTTGCGCCTTTATGAACCTTATCGTGATGCTTGGAACACCGTGATGACTCTTAAAGAAAGAATAATGGCGCACGTTGGTAACCGCAATGAGGAGACAATGACTAGACTTGCTTCTGAACTTGACGACTTCCTGAAGCTTATGCGTACCCCAGAAAGGCGTGAAGATGAAGTTCGTCTTCTTGTGATGACCTACAAGCTGCAGCTTCTCAAGCAGCGACTGGCTGCGTTCGCATCCCACGACAAGAGCCCTGGTCAAGTGTCTGATGCCCCGCTTCGGCGCCCGCAACACCGAAAAGCGCTTCTCCGGGCTGGCGCGTCAGATTAGAGTGGTCCGACATTAGCATCGTTTCCCGAAAATACGTACATATACATCAATAGCGTGGTTTTTCATCGCATTTTCGTTTGAGCTTTCCGCTTCGGCTACGTTATGTCCCATCCTTACCATTCCTAGCTCCCCTGACAATCTTGTACAGCTACATCGAGAGTCTGTTCTGTCATTATTGTTTCCTGTTTCCCATCCGCACCTTCCACACGCAATCTTCTCCGAATTTAGGCGAAGAAAAACGTATTCACTTGTCATTCCTGCGTATGTGCCAGTACCGCCTTTACGCATACACATGAAAATCAAAAAGTGATATTTCCATTCTTGTGTGCACGCGTTTGTTCCTAGAAAATGTGAATTGCTCTACTTGTGACTTCAATTTTGCATTCTGCATTATCCACACAATCTTTCATGCCACCGAATCGCAAGCGAACCTTTAATTGCTCCATCGCCATTCCACCAGCGCGCATCCGTGTGTTCGCACCGTCAGTTTTTGTGCAGGTGCGAATGGTCAGGATGGTGAGTGTGTGTGTGTGTGTATGTTTATTGACAGCCAGTCCTGTCATCTCGTCTTTATTGCCGGCTCAATGACCTGTTGCGCATCCCGTCCAAACCTATTTATTGTCTACCATGCGTTCGCCATAGAGTCTTTCTGCGTTTCCTGCCCCGAGCCAGATAGCCTTTATTCATCCTAGTTTTAGCGGTGTTCCCCGTCCCTCTCCGCCCTTTCCTCCAAATTATGTGACTTTGGCACTGAAACACTCGAGCGCTCTTTCATTTCTCCTCTGCTAACGCCATGTCTCCTTTTCGTCAATGCTTTGTTGCTACTTTCTTGCTGCCGCACAAAATCCATACTAATATTTGTGCCCTTGTGCACGTTTGCCTGGGTGTATGGACATGCGCTATTTTGCTCCACCACCTCTTACCGCGTTATTTTGGTCTCCCTGTCCCTCTTATTTACGTGAAAACTACACATTAGTCAGTAACTTTACGACCTAACATCTGTTTCTTGCTATTTGGTTTGGGGATTGACTCGATCATCTCGGGTAGGTCGGAGGTGTTAACTTTGTGGAGCATTTCAAAGTTATCTGTAGTATTCTTTATTCACTTCTTGCCCAAGAGATTATCGGTGCAGCGCGCACCACTCATATCACGTGCATGGGATGCCAATATAAGTAGTTATCTTTAACTCATTAGCTTAACTTCATCAAAGTCCATAAAACATGCAAACAATCGTAAATTAGTTTGTTCTCACATTATCTTTAAGACAATTGGTACCCTTTAGTCCTCCGTTCCTTTTGTCTTACCTGAGTTACGTTTTAGTGGTTATCAACTTAATTTAAGAACCTTAATCAGAAATGTGAAAAATAATTTTCGTCCATGCTTTGTCATGCAGTTTAAATAGGTCTATCTGTGCTCCACGTGATCGGTTGCATCGTTCTAACCTTGGGTTTTAATGTGCCACCTATGCAGGCGTTGCACTTTGGCATGTCTCTGAAACCGAATATAGAAATCAGGAAATAGTAGGAGAAATGTGATTACTATCCATCACTTATTCCCCGTGGGTGTCTATAGAAATTGGTATAAGTTACTAGGTCGACCGGCTTACCTTGGGAACAAAATTGCTGGGGACGCGTTAACTTTTTACTCCTAAATATGTGCAAATACGTCAAACGTACACATTGGTTGGAAGGGTCATTTATGATCCTAGCAAGATCCGAACGCGGAAGAAACGGGGCTTCATGGGAGTTGAGGTGCTGAAAACGACTCCCATTCCAAAGTTTATTGAAGCTGAAGTTAACGTTATCCTGGGGCATTCAGATTTAAATATGAAAATAAGCTTCAAACACTTTCTCGTCAAAGCACGCTAAGGATCTCGAGGTCATTAGGATTGCATGGTTGCTGTCTGCATTGGAACTCGTTGGTTCGTTTAGCACCATCAGTAATCCATGTGCTTGTTATTACTCAGTAAATAAAAAATCATGGATGTTATAGTCTTTGAGCCCGCTCGAGTAAGTTGAACTCTGTCATGTTATGGTAGATGGCATTGTGCTTTTATTTAAGCCTGTGCACAATTAAATATTGCGAACTTATTCGCGTCCAAGGCATAGCTTCGTCAACGATAAAGGGTCACAATGTGCAAACTAAGGCTTTAATATTAACATTTTAATGTCCATTTTCGAGAACAAGTATAGGGATTCATTCTAAGACCTTATTTTAAAAAATAATTTTTTTATAATTCAAATTGATATGACCTCAATTAAACGGGATCGCATGTGGTGAGAAATTAGAATTTAGCTTAGTCACTCGCTCTATGCGTTTGACAAGTAAAAGTGGAAGAGGTTTCTTTCAACAAACAAAAGAATTCAGGAATGTTTGTAGATGTGCCAAACGAGCAACTTGCCGTCACTTAACGCACAAGGTCGGAAGTTTATCTGAGTTCTACTTGCAAGAAGGCACCACAGACCGAGTTAAGGCAGGGAATACGCAAGTGTCCAAACTGGTTATTTCTTTGCTAGCATTTGGCAAGAAGACACGTGTCAAGTGTGCACTGTTGCCCTTAGAGGTCACCACAACGTAGTGAGACCAATGAAAGCTGATGAGTGGCAATTGTTCTAGTGAAAAACAACTGTTCGAGACAAGTATGAGGCTAACTTTTGATTCAGTCATCAGTGAGCAAAGCCTATTGCTCAATGCAAGGTGTTTCAATCGCCACCAATTTGATCTTTTTCAAACACAGCCATTGGTTGTTTGTTGTGCAACACGGAATCCGTGCGTCAATGCCGCTCAAATTTGGTACGTTAACTTGAAGAAATCAGGGATGAACGCGTTGATAGTTGCTCGAAGGGATTGCAATCCGTCGGGTCTGGACCGTGTAATTACCACGAGTAGGTTCAAGTGGACCAATACTTTTGACGCCAGAATTATGCAGTGTGAGATGTTGCACCATCGTGTGGCAAGAGCGTCGTGTTAAATTTTCTAGTGCATGATGTTACTAACTTTTGTACAAGTTTACCATAACTGCTGCTTCTGTACCAATATAGGTGCTGGAGCACTTTACGTGAAACCAAATTGACGAGCGATCCCTTCCCTATTGAACCATGTGAAAGCACAATGTCACTTCCATTGGAACTAGTTTTTAGTTTTGGTTTGAGTTGTTGACTTGTCTCAATTCCTCGTCATTCACAAATCATGTTATTACTCGGCTTCCAGTTCTGTCTCACAACAAGGCGATCCAATTGATTTCAGACTGTATCCGAGACCACAGTGACCTTCGTCGCTATATATACCGTGGTGACTGCTTCCCTCACCAGTCTTACGAAGAAAATGGAACTCCCAACTGGCTCACTTTTTTCGATTTCAATGGTGACCATCAGTGGCCAGTTGAGGAGTGCTTCAATGCTCCGCCAAGTCCCACATTGATGTTATCTAGTTTTGTAAAATGAAGACGTGAAATCAACGCCATCGAGGTCCAAGGGACATTTCGAACTCAAACCATCTACTAGGAGCAAATGTCAGGAATAGAGCCAAGTAGAACAGTTTAAGAGGCATTAAAGCACACATATGGAAAAAAATTGAATGAACCAAGTGTGCATTATCTATGTTGCACATTCTTCCACCAGATAACTTCAGCGCAAATCTGTTTAACTTCGAACACAACCGCCTCAACTCCCTCAGTGTATACAGATGCCGAGCGTTTGCGCTTTGCCTCATGGCAATGCACTGATTTCATTTACAGTGATATTACAATGTCGCTTTACGTACTTTGCTAATTTTGGGTAAAGTTCACATGACCTCTGTTGCCATGTATCCTTCCAAATCTTGGTCCAATTCCCGGAAGTAATGACCCACTGCTTAACAACCCTGCTGCCATTACCCCAACCCCATTGGCTCAGGTAAGAAACCGTCAGTTTATTGGCGTTGAAGCAGCACTCCTTATTTGCAGCAGCTTTGATCTCCTTGTGTGTCAGAAAATTAGATTAGTCAACCTACATTGTCTACAACCAGATAGTATGGAAAATTTAATTTTTCTACATAAAATAGGCATTCCCCTCCCGATTCATCTAGAAACATGGTAAAATTTAAAATTGGCAGCGATCATGGCCCGTTTCTCAGTAACAAATAAACCCTGGCCAATGTAATTCGTTTAAACTGCATGAGTGCAAACAGTCAAAGAATCACCATCGGTGTCAAACAGTGCAGGTTTATGTCGAAACAC